GTCTTGGTATTGGCCGAGAGTCGCCGAGGCTCGCACCGGGCCCAGCCCGTTACATCCCTCATCCTATATAATAGCTAATAACCAAACAATCACCCACTAATATCATTTCTCTCTACTTGTCTAGAAGAGAATTCGGAAGAGCTCTCGCGATGCAGGAGATAAAATGCCAGAGCAAGTGGGGCACGCGCGGGCAAGGCGAGCGCGTACCTCGACGGCAGGTGCCGCCATGTGCACTCTGACGGCAGACGCCGTCACAATACTTACTACATCCCAAATGCGAGTACAGGTAGAACTGCCTTAGGTACTCTGTACTAGATAAGATAGACTTAAACTCCTTCTTAGCATGAACAACCAAAATTCCCCTAGGATCCCCACTACGGACTGAAAGGCAATAGTCGCATGCAGGTCAGCTTGGTTCTATCTTTATCTGTCCTAGCGTATGATTAGAAGGGGGGTGAGGCTCTGCGAGCTTCTCAGTTTTAACCGGAACCCTGCCCCTTGAAGCCCGACAACCTACAAGGTCAACAACCACATAGGTACCTTATCTACCGCCTTCTTGCTTCGGCCTGTCTCTCAGATTTCTAGGTCCCTTGTCACAGTCAAGCCCGCCCCCTTTTCCTTTACTTGCCATTTGGCCATGCGGAGGTTTCTCAAGTCGGTTGCCCAAGACCTCCAAGCGGCTGCTGTCGGCGCCGGAGGCTCAGGCGGGTTTGGATCCGGCAGTCCGGGAGGATTCGGATTCATTGGGGGCTATGGCTTTCCACCAACGCCCCAAGTCCCTCAGGCACCGGTTCCCTGTCCGCGCCAGGAGCCACAAGCCGGCCATCAGGATTGGATCGGTCTCAACGACGTTCGCTTTGTCCATTTCAATGTCTGCCCGACATGCTACAACAGCTTGGTACGCCCGACGCCGTATGCAAACGCATTTGTTACCAAGGGAGGCCCCCTCGCCGTACCTCCCGGCGTGGCTGTCCGCTGTGACATGTCGCGGTTCTGGGTGCGCATGGCAGGCATGGCGCTCCTGACTATGAACCAGGACGGCCGACACGACGTGAGCCTACTCGCCCATGTCGCCGGGATTCGCGCCCAGGAAGGAGAGTGCCCAAATGCTCAGCTCGTCTCAGAGCAGCAGCAGCTCGCCGTCGCTCAGAGAACTTGGTACACGATCCTGGACCCTCAAACAGGCTCGCAACCCCTCCCGGGCTGGACCGTGTGCCCGTCGTGTGTTCTCAACATCCAGGCCTGCTGTCCCGCCGTCGCGTCCGGATTTGCGCCAGTGCATCCTGCCGGCCCGAGGGAAGCGTCCTGCGCATTGGTGCCGTCGGACCGGTACGATGACCGGCGCACCGCCGAGATCCTGCAGCAGCTCGGCAGCTGCGTTGCGATGGCAGCAATGTTGCGCCGCCCAGACTTGTCTCAGCTCGTCAACTGGCTGCGTGCAAATTTACCACAACCACGGGGCACCGGCACCTTGTCCTCGGCGGGCCCGGCACGGCCACAGGGCAACGGTCTTTGCCCCATGAATTACCCGTCCACGACTCTTCGGTGCCATACGATGCCAGGCGTTCCTGAGTTCACTGTATGCGAACAGTGTTACGCAAATGTCATCAGAGCGGATGCGGCCCGCGGGGTGGAGCTGGCGACTCGGTTCGACATGAGCCCATCCCTTACGCCGTCTGGCGTGACATGCCAGCTGTATTCGGATCGGATGCGCCGCGTGTGGAGCGAAACGGTCGCGACAGGTAACCTGGAATATCTGCGACAAAAGGCAAGTCGAGTTGTTGTCCTTTTCTGGGTTTGAGTTGAGATAGATGTCAGGGTTTGAGATGAAGGTGCAGGCAACGGGGCTCCTGGGGAGGTGGGGTTCATCAGGGGAGAAGAAAACCTCATGTGGTGACTACCTACTACATGTATATGTACTGAAGTTGTCAGCTAACCGTGAGATGGGCTCAACGGCAGGTCAGCGAGCGACGGGTAAAGGAGCGAGAGTTGCAGACCAAGACGGCGCAGCTTCAACAGCAAGCCATGCAACTTCGGCTGCAGGCAGAAACCCAAGAGCGTCTAGCTATCAGCGCCATGTCACTTGCAGCAAACCAGGCGAGCAACAACATCATGCTCAATGGAGTGGGCGCCGGGACCTACCGGCTTGACGCACACCACGTTCTAGTCCCAAGCGGAGTGGTAAGCTGTCCTCTAATTCCAAGCACCCCAGAGAACGCTGATCTTGCTGACAAAGTTACCTTCCTGCAGCCCGACTTCAGTCAGACAACCCAGCTCAATAACCAGGCGGCTATGCTCAAGCTCCAGGCCGCACAGGCAGAAGATCAAATCCGCCTCGCGGAAGAGGAATGGCGACGGTACTGGGAGTGATTTGTTGTCTTGGTTGCTGCAGATCGAAGGCTACCTGCCTGCATTGAAGTCGACCTTTGACTTGGACCAATGTGTCAAGAGAGGGCCTCCAGTTTCCACTATATTAGGGTTTAAATAAACATATACAGGTGCTTCTTTTGCCATCTCATCCCAATCTTGGTTTTTGCGACCCGGAAATGTCCTCATACTAAGAGAATTCACCGCCCTATATTACACGCTCTCAACACGCGGTTAGATCGCAGCCAGTTATGAATCTGGGGACCGGTGACTCTAGGCGATCTCGATGGTAGCACCACCTTGAGTGTTAGACTTGCGGTTGCGGTGCCTGAGCGCACGGAATGGAATCCGAGTTCTTCCGCCGTGCCTGCGAATCCTTCAACCCGTAGTCACTATCCAGGCCCCTTCTCAATTGAACCTGGCGCTCGAGGAGGGTGATAACCAAACCCAAGACTGCTAAAGCGAGGAAGATGATCCAAACAAGCTTGAAGCTTGCGGTAAATGCCCGAACAATCTGCTCGCTGATGTGGTCGTCAAAGTTGGAGATGAAGGTTGCCGAGGCATGTTCATACGCCTGCCCGTTGCTCAATGCACCCCTGGCGAGAGAGTCCTCGATCGAGTGGAGGGTGGTGGAGAAGCGAGCGTTGAACACGGCATTGGGAATGGCCACGCCGAGGAGCGAGCCAAGTCCGCGAAGAAAAGCCCAAGTGCCGGTTGCCGACGCGTTGTCCTTGTCTGTGAGCTCGACAAGCACGGTCGGCAGGGTGGTAGAGACGATGATGCCTGAGCCGATGCCGACCATGAAGGACAACATAATCCAGAGGGCTACGGACCCTCCGTCCTCCAAGGTGATGCAGGGCAGCAGACCCGAAACCATCAGGGCAAAGCCACCCATGTGCATCAAGCGGTACTTTCCGAACCTTGCCAGCAGCGGGCCCCCAACGGCGGCGAGGATAACAATGGTGAGGCTGCACGGCAGTATGAGGATTCCGGATTGCGTTGGCGAAGCTCCGAGCACAGCCTGGAAGAAGGGCGGCAGATAGAACTGGAAGCCGTATGTGATAAAGCCGTGGACAGCCGTGATGATCAGAGCTGCGATGGTGGTTCGGTTGGAGAAGACGCGGGGTGCCATGATGGGATGCGCGCATCGTGGAGACCGTTCCCAGAAGATGAAGGCGAGTATGCCCGTGAAGCCCCCGGACAGAAACAGCACGATGACAGGGTCGGACCACAGGTAGACGGTGCCGGCCAGGGTCAGGGCGCACAGAATCAAGATGACGGCGGCAGTCAGGAGAACGAGGCCCAGATAGTCGACCTGGCCAATTTGCTGGAGCACCGAGATTCCCTTCCAAGAGTTGCCGCTGCTGAGTTGTAGCCACAACCACATCAAGACCAGGGCGACGATGCAGATGGGCAGGTTGACGCCGAAGCACCATCGCCAATTGGTCTGGGCAAAGACGCCCCCAAGAAGCGGTCCAACCGTGGTCCCCAAAGCGTACACGGCGGCCTTGATGGCGACATAATGCCCTCTCTTTTTCAGGGGAATGATGTCACAGAGGATCAGCTCGGCAAACAGGTCAATCCCCCCGGAGCCCATACCCTGAACAATGCGTCCGACAATCAGAACGGCACAGTTGTTGGCGTACCCGGCGATACCACTGCCAGCCCCGAAGATGACGACAGCAGCCATCATTAGATGCCTTCGCCCCCATATGTCTGCGAGCTGCCCATACAGCGGTTGAAACACAATAGAAGCCAGCAGGAAGGCGGTTGCCACCCATGACGAGTTGGGACCAAGACTAAGGGAACGAGAAATGGTCGGAAGTGCTGTACTGACCACGCTGCCCTCGAACGCTGAGAGAAGGATGGGGATGCAAAGACCGATGAAACACCGCCAGAATCCCACGCCCCTCACCCATTCCTCTGGTTTTGCCGTGATCTCGGCCGACGACCCTTTCTCTCCCGCGCACTGGAGTGTTGTTGATGACGAAGAGGATGACGGCGACTCGCCCATGAGTAAGGGGCGATGCGTGTTGGGCTCCAAGAGGCGAGGCCCCGGGGTGAAGAGGCCTGCTTTCGATTCCAAGTCCCATCCCCCAGTCGATTGGCTCTCTCTGGTAACCGGCCGAGTTGGAGCCGCAGCCGGCTCGGCTCCTGAAAAAGTCTCTGGAAAGGACATGTTCGGCGTTTCGGGGATTTCAGAAACGAGGCTCCCCGATCAAAATCATTTAGGAACGAAGCGGTTGAAGAAGCGTAAAGGCCGTAAGCAATGATTGCCTTTCTTTTAATCAACCATGTACGGTCGTAGAAGTCCTTTTGATGTCATACCACTACCTCTTTTTCTTCTTCTCGCGTGTATCGTGCCCTGTACGTCAAGACATTTTGATCCGAGACATGACAAACCACAAAGACAGCTTTTTCCCAAGCCTCAGATCTCAGATGTGCTCGGCGCCCACTGCCATCGCATCTACTCCCTGGCCTGACCAACAACGCACGTCACCTGGTCAGGGGCTTGTGGTCCCCCATTTCCGTATCGTCCTCTTGGGTCGGATGAGTTGTGCACCATCCTCGGTCTCCCGACTGGTTGCCAGGGTTTCTCCGAGCAATGTGCTCCCGCTGACCTGCTGTCTCACTCCCACAGAGCCGATCTTGTACTGCGTCGATCGAATCTCACAGTTTGGTAAGCTAAATGTAAGCTGCTGCTCATTCGATCCCTTCGGACTTTAGCAAATCATCATTGCTTGTATCCTATCCCCTTTTTCATTTTACATCGGCAACTGACAGTTTCATTCACGTTTCGCAAGCACAGCCAGATGGCCAGGCCCAGACAGCGATTGCTAACATTCCGGTAAGCAACAGACTTATACGATGTCGTTTAAGCCGCATCAGACATCTCCAACCATTTGCTTTTGGCGTGCGTAGTCAGTCACGACGTTCTGTCGCCTAGAGCGGTTCGGCATGCCGCCCGGAAGCAGGGCTGCAGTTCGCCCGTAGGGGAATATTCTTCGCGTACCTTATCTAACGCAGCTGCGCAAGACGCACCGTCCTGCAGTATCCCTCTCGCCTAGAGGTTCAATTCATGAGTCCGAGCCTGGGCATGCAGGTGCCCCTGACTGTATCTCAGCCGGTCAGCGCGCCGACCTGTCAGTAACGGCGTGTTGTCTCCCCGAAGGCCGCGTAAGGGGCCCATTGTGTGGTATTCGAGTCTCTTTAGAATTCAGAGAACACTGGCTTATACTTGGCGCTGCACGATTCCCATCTTATTAGGCTGTACGGAATATTTGCCAGCGAATACAACACGCCACCAGGTAGTGTTTATGTTTCTAAATCTAGCACACGTTCCGTCTTACCTAGTTAGTCAGGAATGCTAGCAGAAATCTCTCTCCAGATCTTCCACCATTACGCTCGGTGGCCAAATTCGGTCAGAAATTGAGCTGGAATGCCGAGCGGTGTCGGCAGACCAGACTCACGTATTTAGCATGCCAGAACCTCGCCTTTGTGTCCCCATCCTTGCTTGGCTGTGTCTTTCAGCGTCAATTAACCTCGGGACATTGACAAAAAAGACGAGCAAACAGCTTGTGATCCGACACCATGGCCGTCATCTCGTTTTCCTCCAAGGCTCTGTTGGTGGCCGTTTTGGTGGCCACCGGAGTCATCGGCAACCCAATCGGCCTCAATTCGCGCGACGACTCGTCCGACTCAATCACGCCTTGTGCCACGGTCAAGTGCACCGCCGAAACCACCTGCAAGGTGATCGACGGCAAGGCCCAATGCGTCCCCATCCGCGGCGTCCCCTGCGGTAACACGGTATGCGAAGCCGGACTGACGTGCTGCAACCCGTCCTGTGGCATCTGCACCAAGCCCGGCATGGCATGCACCCAGCAAGTCTGCAATCCCATTCCAGTCGGCGAACAATGCGGCCCGACCGTCTGCAAGCCCGGCCTCGAGTGCTGCAACGCGAGCTGCGGCATCTGCGTGGAACCTGGCCAAGGATGCACCGAGCAGTACTGCCTTCCCCCCCGAGGCGAGCAGTGTGGCAAGACGTTTTGCAAGCCAGGCACCGAGTGCTGCAACCCGAGCTGCGGCATCTGCGTAGAACCTGGCAAGGGGTGCACGAAGCAGCTCTGCCTCCCCACCGGAGAGCAGTGCGGCAAGACCGTCTGCCCAAATGGCCAAGTCTGCTGCAACTCGAGTTGCGGCATTTGCACCCCTCCCGGCGGCTTCTGCACGCAGCAATTCTGCAACGAGGAGTGAGAAGTGATTAGGTGATGAGGAAGATCTGACAGGAGTGTTGTGGGGGGAAAGTGTGTCACATTGTGATGCAAGGGCCGACCTGCTTTCCAGGTTGGTACCTGACTTGTCAAAAATGGGGTGTAAGGCAAAAAAGGGGAGAGCGTGTAAATAAAAAGTCCGAATGACCTCTTTGTACGCCAACTGGGCTTCGTCAGGGCGAGCTGCCTTGCGTCGAGGTACTCTTGGTGCTAGCCTCAACCATCAATCTCTGATAGGCCTCCATGGCCGTCTTGCTGAACCTCCTCAGGTCGTCGCCATACTTCTGTTCAAACTTGCCGTCAAACACCTCGATGCTAGCCCAGCCCCTAAACCCGGTGTTGAGGACTGCCCCGACAAAGTCAACGATGGGCAAATATCCACCATCATACCTGAATGTATCCAAGGGTCAGTCCAGTCATAAATTTTGATGTCGTGCACACACACTTGTGTTAGTGTGACCAAGGTAGATTGTGGCTGCCAAGAGCATGGAGCACACAGAGGGGTAGGACATACGGGAGCGGTCGATGCTCGTGACTCCATCGACCCCGAGGTCTGAGCCCAGAACTCGAGGATGGTGCGGGATCGAGAGGCGGGTCCGTACGGTACGCATCGCTGATCTGCAAAAAGTAGATCTTGTCGCCCGGCACCGTTCTTGACAGCTCATCGAGGCTGGCCGTGTAGGTCCTTGCCAAATCAACCGCCGTGATTCCCTCAGCCTCGATTCTTCCCGAGGTCGTGGTCGGATCTCCCCATTCGCCTCCTGCCGTTTGAAAGGTATCAAGGCAGAGGCCAATGTTTGGCCGGCTGGCTTTCTTTATGGTGGACCAGACGTCCTTCCAGGTCGGGGCGCAGGTCGCCCAGCACCAGTTCTCATAAGCAAGTCGAAACCCCCGTGCTGCCAACATATCGGCCAAGCATCCAAGATCTGCGGCAATCTGGTCCATGTCCTTGGACATGTCCGTTGAGTCAGATGACCCAACTTGCAACATGTCGGTGCCAGCGGCCTCCATGATGTCGATCCATGCCTTTGCCCTCGCAAAAGCCGCTTGGCGTTGCTGGCTTCCCTCTGGCCAGCCTTCAAAGTTGGAAAACGGCTGAAGGACAAGGATCTTCAAGCCGTGCCCGATGCACATGTCATGGACTGCCTTCGCGGCCTCGCACAAAGAGCTGTAATCATCTTCGGCGACGTCGCGGCCAAAATGGCGGCTTGCGTAAGCTTGGAGATCGGGAAAAGAGAGCTCAATACCGTCAAAGCCCGCTTCGCGAATAGCCTCGATTTTCTGATGGAGCGTGTGCCGAGGTAGCCCGATAGAGCACGAGGCGAATGCAACAGGGTGACGAATTGAGCCAGATCCCTCGGACGTGGACGACATGATGTGAGCTGTCGAATACTTTGCAGCTCGTTGGGCTCGGACTCGATTAACACACTGCAGTAACCAACCTCTACTGCAGTGGGTATGATTATTTCAGGTGATGGTTTTCAGACCGTCCTTTGTTCTAAGGCTGATTTAGATCCTGTGGCAAGGTTTGGAATCTTGGAACTCGATCTGTCATTGTAACTTTTGTCGATGATGTCAGCCCTGCATGTCATAATCACCCACTACGGGGTAGTCGCACTCAACTTCCAGCGAAATCTCACAAGAAAGTAGCGACCTCCTTGCTACTTGTATCGGACAGTGTATCTGAATCAAGTGAAACCAACTCCAGTCCTACCGCTGCTCCGTAAGTGTAACAACTGTTAGGTTTCACCCGCCTCCTTAGCCCGCTTTGCGTCAAGAAGTGACGTTACATTACATGTAGCTAGGCTTCGATTTAGGCTCGTAGCAACGACCGAAACATTTTGGGTATCCCAAAGCTACGGCTGGTGAGATGGAAGATGTTACTAGCCGTAGTCGTTGCTCGTGGAAGCTCCAGATCAGCTATCAATTCAAAATCCAGTGATGCAGTGGCCGGTGGGTAGCATGTCCAGCCTGCTACTTGCGTAGCAGTACCCCGGCAATATTCCGACACCAACCTCGGAACATGGACCGTGTCGAGGTATGGCTAATCAGCACACCTTACGCTGACTGACCAGGTTCAAGAACGAAGACCACATACCTTACAACAATGACTACCTAGTGTAGGTACAAGTTACTGTGCAAAGCTAGTCCAGCTCGAACACCCAGTGTGTTCATATCCAGCATTCATCGTAGCGCAGCTCTGAACAACAGCTTGGACATCCTGGGCGTTGTATGTGTGACTTGCCTTGTATAAGGGGCCGCTGAGGGACACGTACCTCGCCTACCTACGTTGCACCTAGATCACCTCAGCCCGGTAGGGGAGAGAAGCGCAACGTTAGTGTTCTCCAACATTCGTGACGAAGTCGTTCAAGATCTGGATAACCCTACAGGGATGCAAGCTAAACGGATGAAGAAGGTGCCACGTTACACATCCTCTATCCGAGTAGTGCAACGTCTTGCATCTTCCCCTTGTCATCTGCACCGTCTGCAGAACAGGCAGCAAAGCGTCAGGGGCAGGTGCATGGGCACTCTGGCGAAGAGTCTCCCGGTAGAGTCCATGATATCGCGAGGACGCCTTCGCCTTTAGAAGTGAGAATTTCTATGAGAGACGATCCAATATTTGCAGCTCCCTTTCATCCTTCGTTAAGGACACAGTGGCATCTACAAAAAACCTTACCTACTGTCTCTGCAATGAATTTGACGGATACGAAGCGTCATCTGATGCTGAAATCCTAAGGAAACAGCACGTGCAAGACTATATCAGTTTTCAAGCTCACATGGTAATCTTATGAAAAGCGAAGTCAGGAACTCAGGAAATGGCGCGTGCCAGGAATTGCATGACGGTCTGCAAGGGACCTTGGTTGGGAGAGGCGGCTGAACTCACCGCTGCTTTATCAACCACCAAGGAAAGAGAAACCAGCCCGTTGGGTATAACGACTCATTGATAACGTGCTCACACATTGTGTACTAACCCAGGAATGTTCTAAATGTTACCAACGTCGGTTCTGATCGTCCCGACATCAAAGTGACTTAGCAGTTACTCAGCTGTGCTCTGCCGTGGTCTACTCCTCGCTGGCACTGCCCGAATCCTCACCGCTACCTTTCCGCTTCAGAGCGCCCTTGCCTTTGTGAGCTCTGCCCTTTGCCCCCTTGCCACGCAGGTTAGCAGGGACCTCTTTGCGGACCTCGCCATGTTCAAACAAGAGCCCAATGTCCGGGCGACGCGCAATGGACTTCTTCCAGAGACTCTTCGGCACCTCGTTGGCCGTGATGATGGCGCCGCTGTCGCTGCGGTGCCATGTGATGCCTGGCTCCACCTCCAGAGCGGTCCGGAGATGGATCCAGACGCGGACTTCGGCGACTTCCCCTGCGCCATTGGGGGTCTGCCGTGACTCGTTACCGTCTTCGTCGACTGTCACTGGGATAAATGTGTGATAGTTGCTGCCTCCAGGGGCCCGGGTGATGACACCCAGGGCCAGAAGAAGGGGGTACCGTTGGTAAGACGTCTCGTAGATGACGAACTCCGGTAGATCCGGCGAGTCAGCGGTCAATTTGTTTCCCACCGGAACAGGAGATGCGACGGCTTCCTTATCTGTGATGCGAGATATTTGCCACGAGGTAGGATTGTCGGACCCGGCGTCGGTCTTGGGAGTCGGCCGGAGATCGAACCGGGGTTTAGTCGCAGTCGCTATGATCCGCTGGATGTCCTCAAACGTGGCATCGAGGGCCGAGATCCTAGAGTGCACCAGCTGCAAACGTGAACCGACGAGTCAGCAGTCATGATCCTGATGGAAAGTTGACTACCAGGTAGGTGATTCTATGACACACATACCAAGTCGGCAACGCTAACCCATCCCTCCGGGTCCACCACGAGAAACTCTCTATCATCCCCGTCCTCCACTTCCTCTCTCTGAATAGCCCGCTTGACCACAAACATGACGGCCTTGGCGAGTGTAACATCCCTTTCCTCTACAACACTGTACCCTCGCTGCCGGCCGCCCTTGCCCTTCATGCTCATGGCTCTGCTCCGGCCATGGCGGGGAGAGTGCTGCATCACAGCACTGGGAGGAAGCACCCCGCCGAGTGCGCCGTTGATGGTGGACAGGGGAACAGCGACGGCCGCGGCCATGTTTGGGATGACTAGGCAAGATGTCTTGTTTGTAGTTTAGGGAAGCGGGGTCCTCGCTGGGAGGATCACAATCAGGGTCTATAAGGGTGGAATAGAAACGTAGTCCGGGAGTGTAATAAGAGATAATAAAGTGAGGAGATGCGGTTCGGGAGGTGCTCGGTCTCCCTCTTAAACACTTGACATTCCATGCTTCATACGCCTGACCGAGATGGGCAAAGGGATCTGACAACGAGCATGAGTGGTTAGGCACCTTAGCCCAACCCAGGCAGCAGCTCAGTGAGCCGAGTCGTAGCAGTTGGGCATGATTGTTGACCGCTGGTCTTGCAGCTTTGCTGAAACGCATTTCTCTGCCCATGTCAAGGCCTGTCCGCTAATTATTGGTTGTTCGAGCGGATCCGGACCAATCGAGGAGTGGACTTATCAGAAGAGTCAGAGACGGCAGACGGCAAACCAGCTGGCGGTCAGCATCCCTGTTCATGCATGGCATTACATGCACCACGCGGCATTCCCCTCGTCCATACCCCGCGCCATGTTCTAGTATCCTCCAAATATCGTACCCCGTTGCAGTCTGATTCGGCTGCCGTGTTTCCTTTAGATAAATAAGTACCTAAGAAACACTCACGAGTTGGTAAATTTGGATTCTCTAGAAAAGTCTACTACAACAAAGAGCACGGCTAGGAGCCCAAATACTTAGAGACCCAACAGCCCAAACTCTGCCCAATGGTCAGAATAGTTACTTAGCTTCACCCAATGTACCCGTCACTGCCTTCACCGCCTGATTCGCGCTACGTGTCCAGTCTGACCTTGTCCACCTTCTCCTGAAGTTAGCAGCTGCAACCCGGGACAGGGGACATACGAAAAACAACTGTCCTATGAAGCTTTCTCTCCAATTAATCTAAGCCTGGCTTTGAATCCGGCTCATGACTCCTGTGCAGAATGGGATGCCAAGACGCTGCCACGCCCGTCAAGGCCCTCATTTCTTCCTGCGGGACTAATGCCTACGGACCACGACTCCAAGGAGACAGCAGGTTGCTCTGGGCTCTTGCCTGCACGTACTCTGGCAGCTACGTGTCCAGCTGATCTAGCTGTTCGGCCCTCTACGATTTAGCTGTATCGAGGTAGAATGTGAGTCAGGGAATCAAACTGCCCGAGTGCTATAGCCTTGGCTAGAGAGCAGAAAGTGTCTTATAAAGACATTGCAGGCGGTATTATATACCCCTCGGTTGTCAATAAAAAAACTGGGGATAATTCTCCAGCAGCTTTTCATACTCGACATCAGCGTTAGACCATTCCCAAGCCCCAATCTGTCCGTCGGCTGACGTCCTGAATCCATAAACATCCGTGAACATCCACCCCTTTCCGTAACTGTTCGTCTTCCCCTTTCCGCCCTCTCCAGACTCCGGTTGTGCGGGCACGATTCTCCAAGTGATCCAAACCACAGCACTTCCCCTGCCGACGGCTTCGATCCGGCTCCTCTCGTACCGGAAATCCGTTCCTAGGCCGCTTTGATTGTACTTCACCAGGTTCCTCTCAATTGCTGTCGTCGCAAACGTCTTATCGGGGAAGACAGTAGTACTGCCGAGCGTGAAGCTCGTAAAATTGGCGTGGTAGAGCTCTGCCATAGCTGCCGCTGCAATAGAATAGGGATTCGATGAATTACCAGCCAGGGAGACGGCAGATGCATAGGCCGTTATGGCTGTTTTCGCGGCGGTTATAATGTTGACCATTATGCCGACTTTCCTGTCAAACGGAGATGGCAAAGAACGACGCCTCGGATTTTTGTCGACCTTGACGGATTTTTGTCGACCTTGACGGATTTTTGTCGACCTTGACGGATTTTTGTCGACCTTGACGGATTTTTGTCGACCTTGAAGAACTTTTGTCGACCTTGACCTGATATGAACATACGCATAAGCCACTCGGCCTCGGTTTGTTCTTGAATCCCCGATTGGTTGAGCGCCTTGCGTCTTTTACGCCGGCCTCACTATTCCTCCGAGTACCACACAGTAAAGTATCAAAAGGCGACAAGGAGCCGGCTTCTCAAGAAGACGGGAGTCAATATTGGCTTGGCAACATATCCTGTCTTTCCCCTCAGTACTATCTGGCCCGCCTCACAGGATAGTCCGGGTAGTGGAAAGAATGTGAACGATCTAAAGAGACTAGCAGTCGTTTCCAGCTGACGTGTAGAAATTTGCCTACAGCCGACGCTCGAAGCTGACGCTTGAGATGACCGAGGGAAAGCGGTTAAAAATGTATCAATGCTGCGATCTCCTTCGGCCAACACAGTAGAAGCAGCGCCATTGTTCGTTGCTGCTTCCTGGAGCCCTGCCCCCAGCTGCACCACTCTTAGCCCTAACCCTGGCTACTGTACCTATGACGTCGTCTTCTAAGCTTTCTCTTGTTCATGACGACAGACCTCTCACTCGGGGTAGTCAACAACCAGCTCAGTCGACAAAACCAGCAAAGCTCTTGCTCAACTGGACTTGCAGTTGAAAGTTTGGTCTCCCTAAAAAGTTACAAGATATACCAACATGTCTCGCCGCCCAACGGATCCCGTCCGGCCTCATCCTCGACTGGGATGGGGTACTGTTGTTGCATATGGCGCGGCCGCTGGACTGCTGGGTGTAGCAGCGTAAGTGATGCCCCTTCATCAATCCCTTTTGATCTTTCACACCGGCAGGCCGGGATTGATATGGGAATTTCTTGGACGCAGCATGACAGCGGCGGAGAAGGTCGAGCAAATATTCACCGGCCGAGCAAATTCCGAAGTGCCCGGAAAGACTCTAGCAAGGCTCATCAACGCAAAGCCGCAGACTGAACAGGAACTCTGGGGCTTGAACATGGCCATGCACTATGGCCAAGGCGCTGCCGCTGCAGTCATCCGGGCCATCGCAAGCCTCTGTGGTCTCCGTGGGCCCTTCACCGATTTCATGTTTGTCGGGTTGCGGTTGATTATCGACCAGACTCTGGAGAACTGGACTGGCGTCGGAGCTCCCCCTTGGTAAGTCCACGGGTGTGTGGGTGCTGTATCCAGTTGGACTCTGCTGACGATATCTTGACCCCAGGACGTGGCCTGTGCGCGAGCAAGTGGTCGACTTGCTGCACAAGACTGTCTTCGCGTTTGTCACGGGTTATCTGACGGATCGTTGGATACAGTGAAGACTGCGCCTTCGCTCAAGTTTGGTTCTTGTCCTGTACCGAACGTCCATTCTCAGCCAGCCAAGATTGGAAGCATACCACCAACCCGAAGAAGCATCACCGAGCAAGATGCGACCTGTACTCCTCCCAGTCGACAATCGACAAGACATCCGATATCCTCCCCTGCTCCAGCCAATAAAAGACATGTTCGGCGAAAGTAACCTGTCGTCCGCTGGGGACTCCCCCGGCATATGGTTTGACAGGTGTTCCAGTGAACTCGATCCGGGCTGCCAACTGCTGTCGGGCTTGGTCGACCACCAGGGTGTGAATGTCAAAGAAGAGCCCCGAGATAGCGTCGAGGCTTGCCTGAATCATATCCCCGTACTGCTGCACCGACAAACGAGTGCCATTCCACACGACCCCTGACGGCTTGCAGAATTGGTGCAGGTCATCAGCCAGCCTCCCACTGTTGATGCACGCGATGTAGTCGGCATAGAACTGCCGCATGTCGATCGAAACCCGCGGCGGCGGAGGTCGCAGGGTGGGCGGCGGCACGATGGGTTGAGCCTGGCCTTGCTTCTCACTGTCGTCAGAGATGTCGAAGATTTGGCTGATTCTGTTGTCGACGAAGAAGACAAACATGTGTCTGGCATACTCGTAATGCTGCCTGGCTGCAGAGCGCAAGCATGTGCCTTCGGTGACAAGTCTCTTGACACGTAGGCGGGCGGCGACTGGCCCATCGAGACCGTCATCGTCACCGCCGATGGTTGTGATGATGTCCATTGTCGTGGTTGTTCTGGGCGCAAACTCTTGCCTCAAAAGCTGTGTAAACTTGTAAAGGCTCAAGTTGTGCTTGTTGTATAGCACTCTTCCCTGGACCACATCACCGAGAAACTCCCACTGCCGTCTGTTGATGCGATCGATGAAGCTTTTGAAGCGAGTATGATTGTTGAGCTTTGGCGGTGGGGTCACGCCTGTCACGGTGTCGCCATCCGTCGCCAACTTGAACTTCGCGTACACCTCGGTCCCCTCGTGCAATGCTTGTGCCGCTCCCGAGATAGGACGTGATTGTGGCGCAGCCATTGACTGCCAGCTTGGATGGAATCGTGACAATCGTTGGCCGGCCGTGTTACTGCGGTTTGGCTAGAATGAAAGGCCGTGGATGAGGGAACGACGCGGCAGCCATGTCACTTCGCAACCCAACCAATTGGCAAGCTGCACAGAAGAGCCGAAGCAGACAAAGAGGGGCTCGCCCATGGGGCGCGAGGGTGCCGCGTGTTCACGTGGTTGGGGTTAGCTGAGAAATTGAACGTTGAGCCCTGCCTATTTAGGATTAACGCCGTCAAAGATCACCTTTAGTTCCTCCGGACCGCCCACAAATGTTAACTTGTTCCCTCCTTCTCGCTTTCAATCGATTCATCTATACTACGAAGTAGTACTCTGTCCCGCTTGCTATTGGTAGCTCCGGTCGAGATCTGTAGCCGCCAAAACTTTGCTTACCCCCTGATCTCGGCGGACTAAAACCGCAATTGGGTTTAACCTATGCCAGTTGCGAGGGATGACCAACCATCGCCATTGTGGTGAAATCCAGACTTTAACTACTTTATTCCACTCAACATTCTGTTGAACATCAAGCTACCCGTCTCGAATCACAATGACCTTGACGAAGCCCCCACAAAGGAATTGGGCCTCGGCTTCAGGTTTGCTTGCTCGACCTTCTCTGTTGGCGGATGCGCCAATAGCCGGGTGGCCGCGGCAGTTTGGCTCAAGGCCGCAGGGAAGGAGTCGGGGAAATGGAAACATCACGTTGAACCATTCGTGCCTCCATCGCCGAACCACATCTTACTCCGACCCACAATTGAGCTTGAATGCCACAAAGAAATTGTTTGCATCGTCGTCCGGAAAGCACAGGGATCTAGAGATGGAAGACAAGCTCCAGTCTGTGGGATTTCGGCAGCGGCTGGCAGCGGCATATCCCTGGACCACGGCCCCGCTCATCGTTGGCGCGCCGATGCGGGTTATGTCGGGGCCCGCGCTGGCCGTCGCCGTGTCGCGTGCCGGCGGCTTCGGCTTCATCGGGCCCAGCGAGAAGCCAGAGAGCACGGCGGCCGATTTGGAGACCGCAAAGGGCCTGATTGCGTCGTCCGGGATTCCGCAACCCACGGGTTCTGCTCTCCCAGTCGGAGTCGGCTACCAAATCTGGAACGGGGACCTCGATGTCTCGGCATCGACAGTCTCGCAGTATCACCCGGCTGCGGTTTGGCTCTTCGCGTCTCGACATGGTCAGGCAGATGTCGACGTCTGGACGAAACGGCTGCACGAGGCTTCCCCGGAAACGGAGGTTTGGCTCCAGATTGGCACACTGCAGGAGGCGCTGGACGCGGTGCGGAGTGCGTCCCCACCCAATGTTCTCGTTGTCCAGGGTGCCGAAGCCGGCGGACACGGGCGTACTTCCGACGGTATTGGGTTCATCACGCTCCTGCCAGAGATCGCCGACGCAACCCGCGGGTCCGGCATCCCCCTCATCGCGGCGGGCGGCGTCGCCGATGGACGGGGCGTGGTGGCCGCGCTGGGAATTGGCGCGGCGGGTGTGGCCATGGGAACGAGATTCCTCGCCTCGCATGAGGCACGCATCATAAAGGGGTACCAGGACGAGGTGGTGAGGGCGACAGACGGCGGCGCAAACACGGTCCGGACTCACTTGTATAACCACCTTCGCGGCACATTTGGCTGGCCCGAGCAGTTCAGCCCACGCACCATCATCAACAGGAGCTGGAAGGAGAAGCAGGCCGGTACCGCATTCGAGGAAATCAAAAAACGCCACGACCAAGCTGTGGCCCAAGGAGACGCAGCATGGGGCCCTGAAGGTTGGACGGCGACGTATGCCGGGGCAAATGTCGGACTGGTCAGGGGCGTGGCAAAAGCGGGAGAGATTGTCGAGGAAGCCAGGAACGAAGCAGCCAGGATTATTCAGGCATTGAGTGGGCTGTAAGGGCTAGCATTGAATAGTACAAGAAACCTCCCTCGTAGGTCAATAAACCAGCTGCTGTTGCATCATCATGTTCATGAAATCAACCGCTGATGTATCTTCCTGCTCTGCCACATCGTCGTCGTCGTCACGATCCGTCCACTTCCTCTCGGGGCCCCAACAGATCCTCCTCCCACGAGCCTTTGCAATCTCGATCAGGCCCGTCATCATCGGGCCAGACTTCTTGACGCTAGACCAGGCGTCAAAGTGGACCCGCTTGACCAAGGGCATCTCAGCCAAAACCCGGTCCAACAGGTTCCCGCTGAACCTCTCGTAGAACCCGTCGGCCTTGCGGAAACCCTTTAGGGCGTTATCACTCGGGTCAATCTCGACAAGGACGGTCAGTTTGCGCACATTGACGCACTCGGCAAGACCAAGCGCCGGGGTCACGACCCAGCCTCGTGGGGGGGCGCCCCAGCCCGGGCCGAGGCGCAGTTCGAGCGACGTGAGGCAAGTGCGCTGCCGCTTGTTGAGCCGCGCAAGAAGGGGTTTCTTCGTGTTAAAGAAGCGACCCGGTTGCGTGGGGAATATCCGGAACGTTTTGGTACTGTAAAACGCATGCGACGCCTCGCTGTAAATGGTCCTGCAGGTGCGAAAGATACCCAGCTTCTTGTGGATGCGCTTGTAATTGTCCGAGTCAAGGTCAATGGTGTAGTCGATCCCCGCAAAGAACTGCGCATATATCTCGATGCGCAACTCTGCGGGCAGGTCTAGAAATCGGAAAGCCTTCTTGTCGTTCCGGTCCGTTTTGGGCGCATTCTCCGCCACCCCCTCGGTCTGGTCGGAGAGCGTCAATGCACCAATCGGGATTTCGGAGATGTCGTCTTTAGGGTCGGTGCCAGCTGAGCCGGTGATTGACTGCTGTGCAGGACTGGTAAGGTTTGAGTCGACGGAGGCGACGGGCGCCGGCAATGAAGGGCGCCGGGCGGTGCGGCGCACCTTCTTTGGCGGTGGGCGCTTGGCAGGCATTGTGACGGAGTGTTGAAATGAAGACAGGCTGACTGTCCGAGTGTCGCCGTAGGTTGGATGCTGTTGTATCACCGTGTTACGGAAGAAGGTTCAGGAATTTGTCGCCACCAAAGCCGAAACTCGTACCTCGGGCGCCAATGCCCTTCAGGACTGTTCAAGCTGTGCAGACAAAGTCAAGATGCTCGAGCTGACGAGAAGACAGAACACAGAGGGTGGTCCCATGGCGAGCATCGATACGAGAGATCGGGCCACCCTCTAGAATGCATCCGCAGCAGCCATGGATGGCAATTTCGAAAGGATTGGCAGTCTGATGTCGAGAGATCCGCGGGGCATGGGACTTCAAACAAATCGTTGGGCGTGGAGTGGTGGGAAGGATGTAGATGACGGAAAAAAATATAGAGCAGTCGGTAGAACTGCCTTGTGGTAAATAGAGAGGTGTCCGGACGTGAGGGGAGCCGGCAGCGAATTTGGGAGCAGTCGAGCCTGAGTCTTCATGAGCCGTGGTTGCAAGTCGATACCGAACGAAACGGCCGCCATCACACCTGCAGACTTGGTGAGGCAATTATAAGTGGGGCTCGTGAGAGTCGGAAGGCGAAATGCTCTACTGTTGTTGGTCGGTTCTGCAGCATGACGGATGATGACCCCACATTGCATGTTAGTCCCATACAGTTAGCTTATGGTCCGTGCTCCTATCGCAAAAAATCCAACAGAGCCAAAACAGGCCCAGAGTGGATTTTTGCGAGCCATCAACAGCCTTAGCCGAGTCCCAACAACGACTCGTGGTTTTGTCGAGCTTTGAATCCCAGGCGCGGCTGATCGCACCTGGACCATCTCTGAGCGTACCAGTCAGCATTTGCAGTGTTCATTAGGCTGAATAGAAGCATCAGCCATGATTCTGTCGCGAGCTGCCGCGCGCCGAGCGGCGACACTCGCGGCCCCATCTGCCCTTCGACCACGCCGCTTGCCTGCCGCTGCTATCTGGAGTCGGGGCATGGCCAAAGACAACAAGCCGCCGTTGGCTCGATTCTCTAGACCGCAGAACACGCCCGCACAGAAGCCGTCACAGCCCCCGCCACCCAGCAGCTCCCCATCCGCGACGTCTTCCAAACCCAACCCCGAACCACCAAAGGAGCCCAGCACGGACCGAGCAGACGAGTCCACAGCGCCCCAAGAACCGGCACAAGAACCGGTACCAGACCTCTCGAAGCTTCCCGACCTGACACAAGGCATCCCGTCCACACTCGAGTATGAAACGACCGGCGCAACCAACAAGTCTGCTTTGGCCGCCGTCGAAGAGGAGGGTGCTGCCAAAGCTGGTGGGGGAGGAGGTCGTGGAAAAGGCGAGCTGCCCGCGTCAGCCTACGTCTCGTCGACGGAGCGGCGTCGTCAGAAATGGGCCATGTGGGCCTTCGCCGGCACAGCCCTGTCCGCCGTCTTTGGTGTTGTCTACCTTGGCAGGGACTGGGACGAGGAGGAGCTCAAAAAGAACCCCGATGTGCCCAACGGCTGGAGCATTGGCCTCTGGTGGAAGCGCGCCATGGCTCGTATGACTGATACAGTCACGTACTACCAAGAGCCGGCTTTTGAAAAGCTCCTGCCAGATCCCGACCCCTCGTTTGAGCGACCTTACACGTTGTGCATCAGCCTGGAGGACATGCTCGTCCACAGCGAGTGGAGCCGTGAACATGGCTGGCGGGTGGCGAAACGCCCCGGCGTCGACTATTTCCTGCACTACCTGAGCCAGTACTACGAAATCGTCCTCTTCACGACCGTCCCCTTCGCCACCGGTGAGCCCCTGGTGCGCAAGCTCGACCCGTATCGTTTCATCATGTGGCCGCTCTTCCGCGAGGCCACCAAGTACCAGGATGGTGAAATCGTAAAGGTAGGATGATGCGATCGTTGGTGGAACGCGAAGGCAACTGGATTGGATGGCTAACAGTGGAACAGGATCTGTCGTATCTGAATCGAGATCTGTCAAAGGTCATCATCATCGACACCGAATCCAAGCATGTGCGCCTTCAGCCTGAGAACGCTATTATTCTGCCCAAGTGGACAGGCGATGTCAAGGACAAAGAGCTCGTCTCCCTGGTGCCGTTCCTCGAGTTCATCCACACCATGCAGTACAGCGACGTGCGCAAGGTCATTAAATCGTTCGAGGGCACTCACATCCCCACCGAGTTCGCCCGGAGAGAGGCGTTGGCCCGGGCGGAGCACAACAAGCGGATCCAGGCCAAGCAACCTCGCGCGGGCGGAATGAGCTGGCTTGCCAGTCACCTCGGTCTTAAGCCGAGCAATATGAGCCTCATGGTGGCCCCGGAGGGCGAGGAGAACCCTACCGAGGCATTTGCCAAAGGCAAGATGCTGCAGGACATTGCTCGCGAACGTGGTATTCGGAATTACCTGATGCTCGAGGAGGAGATCCGCAAGAATGGCGAGAAGTGGCTGAAGGAAGAGCAAGAGGCTATGGAGAAGGCCCAGAAGGAAGCCATGAAGAGCATGAAGTCTTCCTTCTTCGGCTGGTTCGCTTCCTCTGGGGATTCGAAGGCCGAAGCGTCGAGCAGCAGCGACAGCAAGGGAAAATGATGACATGAACGATCTGACATTTCCCTCGCCATGTATTAACAGTTTCGAAAACCCCACTTTCTCTTCCTAATCAGGGGTTTGCATCTTAGGGGAATGCTTGAGACTCTACTGGTTGGTAGGGGCCTGCATTTGGGACAAAGTTGTGTAAGGTACGGAGGACGGCGTTGCATAACAGTTACGGCATCTTAAAGAGTATAATACCCCAGAGGCAGACTTCTGGGCCTTGTATCATACACATCAAACAATTTTAAAGTGTAGAACAACGGGTGCAGATGCATCCAGATGCTTGTCTCACACTGTTGGAGCCAGTTGGACTTCCGCCCTCGCATTTTCTGCTCTGCCCATGCTCTGCCCCAGCGCCTACGGAAAGCGACAGATGGCGAAGGTAAACAGGTGTCATGGCACACATGCAGCACCTCGGTGACACTGGCATCTCCAGCCGACCTCCCGGTCTACAGCAACCATGAACAAGCGCTGGACACCGATTCATCAGGTACCGAGCGGCCCACTTCCCAACCTGGCAACGGTGTCATCCGAAAAAACCTTCATGTCACCCGTCTAAGCAATATCGTATCTAGATTGGGCCACCACAACAAAGTTTCAAGCAAGCAAATATACCTTATTCCTGGCGCAGTGCTGCTGCTATTGTTCATGGTTGCTTATCAAATGATTATTGTTCTCGTGTTTCGAGTGATCCCCCCGGATGTCACCGTCCTGTTGGGAGAGTCTGAAACTTGGAGCAGAGCAGAGCAGTGTTTTGTAGGCTCGATGGTTGAACACAACCAATGCCGGTCGCCGCCGGATTCTCACTGTAAGTGAGTCCTTGAGCTCGCAGGACGAGAGGCAGAAGTACCGTGCCGCTTCAACCGCTGCTGGAATAGGCACGGATATCCGTGTGTTCGACTAGCACGAGAAGGATAGGGGTTGCAGATGTTGTTCGGCTCCGCATTGGGCAGAGCAAACCGGACTATGGCGAATTCGCATCCCAAGAGGCCTCAGAGATAGTTAGGGGTCGGGCTCCAATTCATCCCGATGGAATATACCCAGACGTCATAACTCTCCTGTCATATCTATATAGACCTGCCAAGGGGCTCCTGAGCATGTCGGATTTGTCTTGGACTCTCAGCGCCCTACTGACAATTTCTCTTCCTCTGACAACGTTATCCTTACCCTCGGATCCCATCCCAAACTCACCTTGGTGGCATCTAGATTGTCTTGCGGAACAGCGTCCCCAACAATGCAGCTGACTCGCACCGTCTTCATTGTTGCCTTTACGGCCAGTACCGCCAATGCATTGCCCACTGGTCATCGTAACATGAATCCGGTGGACTGTGCTGGGACCCCCGAGCGAAACGAGGGCATTCTTAACGGCGTCTCAGGTGCCCTAGAGAAACAATCACACCACTGCTCGGAAAATTCTCAGGGCAAGTCTGTTTCCGACCGCGGCGAGAGGGAGGCGGCGAGCAGCACAAAAGACTCCGTGGCCCAGCTAATTCCCCACGGAGACGAAAAAAACGCCATCTTCAGCGGTATTGGACGGCAATCCAAGGGCATGATGCAAGTCATGAACACTCCTAAGTCTCGGCTCAATGACCAGGACTCGACCCGCTCTCCTGTTTACCGGGAGACGGCCATGTCTCCCTCCCAGCATAGCTCCACAGCAGCGTCAGATACTGAGGGAAAGACAAAGTGGAAAGCGGGTGACAAGGCGACAACGCCCAAGCGCAACATGAGTTTCACTCTCAAGATCCGCGAACTTCTCAACTCCCTCGGCAGAGGCAGAGACCAGGAGTACTCAAAACAGGTGGACGACAACGATCTGGCTGAGGCCTCGACTGGGATCCGTCAAGACCGGGCCCGAGTTCATCAGAACCCATCTGACGAGATGAAGGTTGACCACAGGGAGCAGCAGACTTCACATGGGCCCCAGGACCAGCGCGCCGAAAACGTCGCATCAGGTCTCCAGGACTACGACACCACTTATCAGGATACATCTCGGACTACGGTCCCCATGACCCCCAAGGTTCCCCGCTCGCATATTGGCATGCCCATGGTTCACCCGCAAGAGGACGGCAACAACATGAGCCCGAACCACAGCAGCCAGCAGCAGAGCAACGTCAATCTTGACAAGAAGGAGGAGATGCAGTCTCACTCTGACATGATGGAATGCCTCCACACTGCCAAGGGCGATATTCACGAGTATGTACATCTTCTAACTTATTAGCACGTGGGTCGCAGTCTCAGGATTTCAATGATCTGACGGCCTTTCAGACAGAGCCGTTGCGTCAGCTCCCAGTACAGGGAGCAGTCTAGCGTCTAGGACGGTGTACGCCTTGAGGAAAGGAACTGCTCAACCGTTTGTGGTCGGCAGTGGAGAATGGGGTGGCAAGGGAGGGGATGATTCAGAAGGGGAGAGGATGACGGGCGGATGGATTAACGCGCGGTTCTTGATTCAAGGCGGTTTCCTTGGTTCTTTCATGTTGATTTCAACATAACTTAACTCTTCCATCTGTTCCTCTCTTCTAGCTTCAATCCTTCAACGGATGTTGGCCCTTCCTGTACTTGCGTTTGCTTTTGTTTTTCAGCATTGATCATGGATATCCGGGGCCGTTGGGCCCTCCATGGATCCTGACCGATATTAATGACAACCTCACTCTCCATACCCCTGGACCTAATACATGGAAAGACAATGTAACAGAAACGATGGTGCCCGTCTAATTGCAAGGTAATGTACATATTAGTACAGCAATACAGAGGCCTCGCACGTTCCTGTTGTCACCCCAGGCCATCGCTTTTTACCACCTCGCCTCCTTTGACAAGCGTGTCGGGGTCAGGAATCTTCCTCTGCGGCGTACACAGCCGCGCCACACACTTCTCCAAAGTACCATCCACATCCAATCCAAAAGCCGACAGCAGCGTCGAGACGGCAAGCAGCAAGACGCCCACCACGACAGCCAAATCCAAAATGTGCACCAGCCACCAAAAGTGCTGCCTCCCGAGCGGGCAGGTCGCGTACTCGGCCTTCCATTCCCAGCTGGCCTCGTCAAACCAGACACTCAACAGGCCCGCGTTGCCCCCAAAGTCGCCCATCATGCTCCGGACCGTCACCTCTCTGACGCCGGGCAGCTCGTCACGGCCGACGATGCCGGAGGACGCGGCCTGGCGCCACCGCTTCACCTCCCACTGCCTGTCCTCTGGTTCGGTGATCGACTGGTTGACGTAGTGCCACGTGTCGCACCCTTCGTGGTCGTGTCCGTTGAGGATGATGCCCCGCCTGCCGCGGCCGCGGCCCGCGGCGTGGACGTTGCCCGACATGCCCAAGATGCCCTCGAGGAAGCCCTTGCTGGCAGCGGCGCTCAGCTGGTTCTGCTCGCGGAGGCTGCCGTCGTGCTCGTGGAATGAGAAGAAGGGGTCATCGACGCAGACGCCCTCGGGCTTGTACAGCGGGACGTGGGTGAGGATGACGGTGAAGTGGCCCTGGAACTCGACGGCGGCGGCCGTGTTGATGACGTTGTTGATGAAGGAGTAGGTGTCGTCCTGCAGCTTGGTGGAGAGGGCGGGCGTGTCGAGGTTCATGTCGTTGAGCACGACGACGCGGAGCTCTGGGACCAGGCGGTTCGACTTGGGATCGGCGTCGAAGACGGTCTCGGCGAGCGAGGCGTCGGTCAGAGGCAGCTCGAAGCGCAGCTCGTAGTTGAGCTTGCCGAAGGCGCGCTCGAATCTCTCGGCCCTCTCCTCGTTGATGTCCCCGGCATAGCCAATGTCGTGGTTCCCCGCCACGTTGATGATGCGACGGGTCCAAGCAGTCGACTCGTTGAACGGGCCGCCCCCTAAATGTCCGGCCAGATCATATTCTTCGGCCGGGTAGGCAGCCAGATTGTCCGGCACACGCTCGGTGCCGCGGAAAACGCGGTTCCAGTATCGGTCGGCACGGCGGTAGAACTCGTTGTCGTCCAGCCACTGGCTTCCGACCAAGTCGCCGAGCACAGTGACGTGGGTCGGGCGCGTCCACCAATGTACGGTGCGGTAGATGTGAGCGAGGTAGAAGTCGTTGCCAAAGAGGTCGATGCGCTTGCGCAGGGACTCGAGCGCATCAAAGGTATCCTCAACGAAGATGTCGACGAGGTCATGGATGCTCTGTCGGACGCGCTGTCGCAGCGAGGAATGGCTCGATTGAAACGTCACATGGCTAGCTAGGCTCTTGAGATGTGGGAAGACGCCGAGGTAATCGGTGGGTATCGATGTGTCGCCTTCAAGTTGCGGGTCGCCGAGGGCGAGAAGGCGGAAAGGAGCGATGGGTCGAGAGGGGACAAAGACGGTCGAGTTCGGGATCCCAGCGGTGCCCGCAAGGGAATGCCAATGCACCTTGGCCGTCTCGACGAAGGCCGCACGCCCTGCGTCGGCGGAGGTGCCGGCACTCTTCTGGTCGGGCGGAAGCGGGAATGCGCAGATGCTGAAGACGGGGTAGAGGTAGAGATACAGGGTCGAGAGGATTGACAGGGGAATCAAGACTTGCAGAATTCGGCGAAGATGCGCCGTGGGCGACGGGCGCGTCATCAAGACAGCGGCATGGGGCGCTCACTGCCCCTGCCTATGCGAGGTGAGAAAGTAAAATACAAAGAAAAGAAAAGTAGAAGCAAACGATGGAAGGATGCTGCTGGTCTGTCGTTGGTTCCCGGATGGGAGGCAACAAAATGTCGAAGGGTCCAGTGCTTGCGACGATGCGAGGCTCGGCAGGGGCACTCAGGGTTAGGGTCTCAACCAAGGACCTCGAGAATTTTGATATGTTAAGTTAACGTTATCTCACTTTCAAATTTGGCAGGTGGTTTCGAAAAGCAATCGTTCCGTCCCGCAATATCCAACGTATGCCGTTCGTGTACGGCAGCCCAAAGCTTGGGACCTTCTCCTGTACTCTGGGTCCGAGATCAGAACAGAACCCGTACTCCGGGAAGCTGGCAGCGATGGAACGAGCGTTCGGCACCCTGCCAACGCTTACGTCTAGCCGTATCGAGATCTCAACACGCAATAAAGCGGCCGTTCTCACGCTCCGGCAGCCTAGACAGCAGTCTGGGCAACACCACATCTGCCACATCTACGAGTCAATCAGAGCACTACGCAGAACGGGAACACAGTAACAATACGGTGGCTCCCTGCGGGCGATGAGGACAAGCTTTGGGAAATCGCTAATAAGAATGCCAAACATGCCACTAGACAGGGTGCCACTCCGCAGACGCAAACGCCCAGGACACGCTCAACAACGCTCAACGTAGCATGGTCCAAGAGAAGCACCACCAATCACCTGCCAGACAAAGTCGGAGCTCATTCCAAGCGAGTCGACGCAGCACTACCAGGCAAACACACCCGACTGCTGTACGACCACCTGTCACGAAAGGAGGCTGGCGTGCTCGCTCAGCTCAGAACAGGCATGGCAAGACTCAAACGTTACCTCCATCGGATTGGAGCAGTACCGGCAGATCAGTGCGCATGCGGGCAAGCAACAGAGACAGTAGACCACTTCCTCTTCCGATGCAGAAAATGGACGGCATACCGAACAGAGATGCTCGAATGCACAGACACCCACAGAAGCGACATTTCGTTCTACCTAGGAGGGAAATCGCCATCGGATAAGAAAGACTGGACTCCCAACATGGCAGCCGTTCGGGCAACCATACGGTTCGCAATGGCCACAGGGCGCCTTGACACGAACCAACCACAAGCCGACTAAACCACCCAACCCACCACAAAAAAACCAAACCAAAACCCCCACCTCGTGCCACGGACAGCAGGCACCGCTTCAGCCGCCGAAGATAGGACGTTGAACACTTGGAGAATCGCCTTCAAGCCAGCCTACTAACAACCCTACTAACCCACGAGAATCCGCAGAGGAATCGTATAAGAGGGGACATGAACTAGAATGAGCTTTGCATGGGCTTCGACGAGATCAGGACATATCCTGGGAAATGTATAGTCAGATTGTAATAGCTGCCCTTTCGGGTTACCCGCCGGGCGTCAATAAATTGTATTGTATTGTATGTATCCAACGTATCTACTTCCCTCGCTTCAACTTGGTGTCGTAAGTTTTCTCAAAACAGAAGCCGGTCTCCGTTCTTGGAAAACAGGGGACTAGGATACATGATGCACCCCGACAACGCTAGGCGACTCGGATTGTGGCCGAACTGCTTGCAGTTCCCTGGTCATACACAACGCCGGGAGCTTTGAAGCGATGGCCTGCATCCCTGCAGGCTAATGCGAGATGATGATCATGTTCACCCGCCACCTAGACAACGACATAAGGTACGTCATACGGTGAGCATCTGGGAAACAAGGAGATCAGACAAAAATGGACAGGAGTATTGATTCATACACAGGTTTCCAGATCAAACCGGACTTGGCCTTTGCCCTGAGCCTTACCACCTCTGCTTTTCCTACGGAATCCTACCTCCTCGTCCTCCGCGGGCCGTCCGGCCCTTCTTACCCGCTTTGTGTTTCTTGAGGTTAGGCAAGTTGACGTGTCCATCCCATTCCCGCCATTGAACCTGGAGGCGTCGACCCGAGCGTTCGGTTGCCCGGGCATGCCGCCGCTCGGCCCAGTGGCGCCCACGGCCCGTCCATCGAAAACGGACAGGGCCGATCCATACGCCCCAGCCAATGACCCGGGCCCGAGGCCGCGGCCGGGATAACCAAAGGGAAGCCCCTGCGGCTGGTTAACTTGTACCACCTAGCCTACCTCCAGCAGGCAAACCAGGAAACAGCTGGATACCTCCTAAACCGGTGGTCGGCAAGCCGTCCGGGGGCAGCGACCCTCCCCCGGCCGTCACGACGAAGACAAGGTACAGGCTCGAGATCAGCTGCTGGTTGTCCTTGTCCTTGAGCTGCGCCTGCAGCTGGTTGATCAGGGTCTTCTGTCTCTCCTTTGGAATCTCCCGGCGCTGGCGGGAGAGGTCTCGCCGATTACGGCGCTCGCCTGCCTGACTACTTACATGTTATCTACGACAGAATGGCACCGAAAAAGCAGCTCCCAAAGCCCGGACGCAGCGAGTACCAGCTCAAGTTCCTTCAGAAGAACCCAATCATTGGCAGTGCCGTACACAGCCTCCTCGACCTCCAGTCGCGCCACTATGCCCTGAACAAGCGATACCAGGACGAGATGTGGCGGTTGGAGCAACAAACACTTCGCCCGCTGCCACAGCCTCTTCCAAGAGCGCCAAACATGACCAGCGGAACGAACAAGCCTGCCGCCGTGCTGTACTTTGCCGTGGCCGTGCAGCGACGGCCCGCAAATCAAGGGCCGCTGTCCAGCGGGATTCCCCATTTCTGGCTCCGCGCAATGAAGAATGAACCCGACCGTGGCCGAGTGGATCCATTCACGCGACGAGCCGGTGCTGAGCTACCTGCGCGAGTCCGGATCGAGTTTACTAACCCTACTCCCACCGGTCATAACGTCAACAGGGGTGCCCAGGCGTTCAGGATCCGTTCGACGTCGAGGAGAGCCCCTTCATCAGCAACGCGACACTGGCAAAGGAGTTCGTCTACGACCGCGAGCCACCCGAGGACGACAACTACGGCACACTGCTGTACAGCAAGGCGCCCGGGTGCGCCATGGACTAGAAGCCGGGCCAGGACCTGACCGCGAGTGCCGTGAATGCTACTGGTGGGTGGGAAAGTCATCATTGTTGAATGCTTAACCCGCTCTGGCGCAGTTACTGATCAACCGAATTACGTACGGTACCTAGGGGAACTCGAGTACGAGTCCTTCTTCGACTTCTTTGACTCGACTTCCTACGAGGACGACGAGGGCAACGACGACAGCGACGCTGGCACCAGCGGCAACAACGAAGATGCGCGCTTCCAGCGCGGTAGGCGCCGGCCTCGCAAGAGCGGGTACGATGAAGGATCGGATGATGATAGTTAGCCTAAGGTAGAGGAGAGCGGGCGCGACCGCGCAATGACTCAGACAATGACTCGAACCGATGAAGACGAGCAGTCGGCTTTGTACTGCGACTTTGAGCTTGGCAAGGAAATCAAGAACCGACTTGTCCCGTATGCTGTACACTGGTAGACCCGAGAGGCGCTCCTCTTTGCGGATCAGATGAAGGTGAGAATGGCAACGGAGATGACGATAAGGACGGGGAATCCGGGCAATGACAGGACAAAATTCTGAAACTAAGCCCCTAAGAGTTTCCTGCTGCTGATTGGTTTTTTTTGTTTGATTCCGAAAGAAGCTTAATCAACGATAGAATGCTATCATTCCCTTGCTTCTTGGTTTCCTTTCATTTCCTCCTCGTTCCTTCTCAATTTACCTCTCCTGAAACCACTCATTGGTCAACAGAAGACGGCACAGTACAGCCATCTCAAAACTGTTCCCTAGGCTACGTACCATGGTTCTGTCCAGATTCTCAGCCACAGCTGCAGGCGCAAGACCGGGGAACATCCGCACCGTCTTCGCAAAGTCGGCCATCTTGACAATGCCACGAGGACTCGCCAAGGGTCAAAGAGCATGGCACGTCCGCTTGCTGACTGGATGCTGGTCGACCAATTGCTTTGGTGTGAGGGCACTTGTACTTTGAGTGTTTGACAATATTTTGGCATCTCCACTTTCGACCCATGAGAGGTTGAGATGTCGCCATGAGAACATTACCTCGTCCGGGAACCAAGAGGGAAACATATTGGAACCTTTGCCTGCCTCATGACTCGTCTAATCCGGAGGCTTGCATAAAGAGAGCGCCTATGGGACGCGGGCTCTACTAATGAAGACTTGATTGTCAAAGAGCCAGAGACCTACCTACAACTTGAGTAGTCTACCAAGTAGCTGAGAACCATGGTGCGCCTTGGCAGTGGCCACGTAAGATCCCTACCATACCTTTCTCTACCCCCTCGACAAATCGTTTTTAACCAGTAAGGTAGCCAAACTAACCCCTCAACACATGGTCATCATGGACGTCGACATCGCCGGCATATATGGCGCACAAATCTTCCTCTACGTACAGAGTCTTTAAATACAAACAAGTACGGAGGTACACATACCGACTCTTTGCAGCTGCAGCCACTGCCCAGACGCCATCCATCTCAAGCCTCTTCAGTGTTGGCGGCGAATCCCGCCGGAATTTGTACCTTGTCGTGGGTGCCAAGTCTAACGCCATCCAAGCTAAAACGGCGCAAGCAGCGGCACCTTCTTGGCTTGCATATGGTGGCGCCGACGGGCGGCTGTTACCGAGCTGAAACCAAGAGCTTGTTTGTAATTACACTGTACGCGAGACTACCAAATGCCGGAGCAGTGTTCTGCATAGCAAGAGAACGGCCACAACCCTCAAAAGGTTGGAGCTCATGTAGTAGTCTAAAGGAATATAGGAGTTTTGCTTCCGGGCAAGTACACTCGGTTGCCTGCCAAGTCCTAGAGTCCCGTCCCAGCTCAAGGTGACCGCACCAAAACCAGTTCGCTGTTTGGGGCCGGGAATAGGTCCACAAGATGACAGCCTCGTGTCCCCCTCAGCCTCCCATGAAGAACTGTACCAATGAAGAAGTCCTCCAGGCTGCTCTACTTCGGCGCCGCTTCAGACACCACCCGTCACCGCCGGCAGGACGACGCCTTCCTTAGTCGAATCGGCGCGCGCTGGTTGACCGTCGCCGTCCCGGGGCCGGTCCACCTTCTCGTCGCTCAGGTGGCCATTGTCGGACTCGGCCGCCTGAGACTCAAGCTGAGTTGCCTTGCGACGCCGCAGCCTATCGTCCACGAATCGGACGACGGCGAGCAACAAGCCTGCGACGAGAATGGAAATATTGACGGCAAACCCGCGCTGGTAGAGTGGTCGGTCATCCTGACGGAAGATCTGGGCACCATAAATACCCGCAATATTACCACCCATGATGGCCCTATTTCAAAAACAAGGTCAGTAAACAAATTCAGGAGTCGGCAGAGCCTGAAGGGGCGGAAAGACGTACATGGTCATGGCTAATGCTCGCTCTTCCGAGTCGGTGCACGCGAGAGACATCCATGTGATGTTGAGAGGGTGCGAGAAGGTTCCAAAGACCTGAGTCCACACCACGCCAAAGTATCGGACTCCTCGAAGGTCAGAACCCAAAGTTGTGAAGGCACGGTTGAAGATGTAGCCGATCAAGTGGCACGTAAAACCAGCCATGACCGTCTCGCCGCGTTTGTTGCTAGTCATAGCCATGTCAGCAAGGTGTCGCATGGGATTGTTGGTCCCTTTTTCAGGGGCAAAAACTCACAACCGGTCCGACACGTAACTGAACGCAAAGGCGACTGGAATCTGAATGTAGAGACCGACAGAAGCGAGCGCGTTGGACGAGAGCGCAGGGAACCCGAAACTGGTCACAATCGACGGGCCGTAGGTATCAAAGGCACGCAGCGGACCGTTGTTGGCAAGCGAGATCAGAAAGTGAACCCACAGACGCCAGCTCAGGAACTGGGAAGCAACAAAAAGAGTCAGTACGGTCCGGTGACGAGTGATTTTCTGGACGGGAGGCCAAGGGGAACGACTTACAGCCTTCTTGAACGCAGGCCGACCGATGCGCTTCTTCTTCTTTCCCTTCATGGGGTCATCGAGCCAGACACGGGTCCTCAGGATGTGGATCTCCCTCTCGGTGAAGATGTTCACGCGCGGCAAGAAGGTGCTGCAGAGAGCCAGCCAAATCGTGTCAGCGAGAAGGACCACCGAAAAAGAACAGACGGGGGATGGCCCTTGGAGAACTTACCTGCGAGGGTTCTTGAACGAGTCGGGCAAGAAGAGGCCAAACAGGATACCAGACATCAAGGTGAAGGCTCCCATGAGGACGAACAGCCAAAACCAGCCCGGTCTACCAGCCACACCACGCATATGCAGGATACCGTATGCGAGGAGTTTCGAGGACGCTTGGCCGAGCTGGTTTCCGAAGTAGAAGACAATGATGCGCTTGGCACTCTCGGAGCGGGTATACCACGTCGACAGAGTCCATAGTCCACCGGGGATAAAGCCCGACTCGGTGATGCCGAGGAGGAACCGTGTCGCAAGGAAAGGGCCGTACCCTTTCTGGAATGCCTGAAAGGTGCTAACAGTGCCGAAGAGGAAGAGCTGAAGAGTGAGCCATTTTCCCGGGCCGACTCGGTACAGGATCATGTTGGATGGGATCTCGGTAAGGACGATGCCGAGGGAGAGCAGTTGTTGGCCAACGTTGAATTGGTCTTGGTCGATGCCGACATCTTCCATGAACTTGTCGGTGATGGCATTGGCGATGTTTCCACGATCCAGCTCTGAAGAGAACAAGAAGATAGAAAGGTCAGTATAAAAACTCTATGCTACCTTCAAACTCGAGGGGGCAGATGTGTGGTTTCAAACTCGACAGAGACACGGGGCAGTACCGTGAAAGGGACGGACTTACGCAAACAAAAGTATCCTAAACCGAGCAGCGGCATAAGGAGGAGATCCAACCTGCATTACCGCTTCGTTAGTCAGGGCCCTATGTTGTGGGGTGTGTTGCAGTGGACGTACTTTCGCTTCGCCCTGACTTCCTCCTCCTTGGTCCAGTCCCTCTCCAGCGACAGGGCCACCTCATCCTCGGCAGGACGGGGGTAGTCCACCTCTGCTGATTTTGTGTCTCTCAGCATGGTTTCCGGAGACAATGATGGTTGCGGAGTCGCGTTTCAGCCTGAATAAGGACAACCAATGCGACTGTCACTTAGATTTTAGCTGGGACAACTACCGATTCTTATAAGTTCCCCGGTTGTTGGGAAACATCGTCTCTCTCTTCATCTCGACGCTGCCCAAGACGGGCAAGACGACTTGACGGCATGCATGGCTGCGAGCACGCAATAGATGCTCAAGATACATGCGTAGCAGGCGAATGGGTTGTATCTTGCTCGTGGCGGTCCTTGGCGCGGGTCAAGCATCCCAAGGTTGAGCTGGGCATGACAGCCTGATACGCTGAAACCCTTTCTTCGCAGGCGACATATGTACAATGCCATGCTTTTTTGGTCCTTGGCGACGGTCCCCGTGGGAGCGCCAAGTGCAGCTATCAGCGCCGCCAAGGCAGTCTGGATGCCGGGCGTACAGGTCGGTGGCTTGGTGCGTCGCATCCTGTTGGATTGCCCCCCTCGCTTTCTCCCTGAGCAATGTTCAGCACCTCATCATCGGCACTCATCTTGGTCGCTGGTTGGGACCCAGACTTCAGCCCGGCGACCGTCACCTCTGCCGTGCGCAGCCGAAAACGTGCCGCCACGTGCAAAAGCTCATTACCAACTTGTTGGGACACAACGGCGAGGCCGACATCCCACAGCGGTGGCTCAGGGGACATCTTCGAGCTGGTCAAGTGCGACGGGAGAGGAGCCCTCGAAGTCTCGAAGGGCCCTCAGCCTCCTAGCCTCCAACACTCACGCCGCTCTACGCATCGCTCTCTCCCACCTCCCACGCGTTTGCGGCTGAAACAAGGATGCCGGGGATCATCAAGCTAGTACTTGCCAGGTAAGAGGTCAGCTTCATGTTGGAGCCTCGGGTCATACGGCGTGGAAGCAGCAACACCGTTACCTCTCCCGGCCGGGGCCAATCCTCGTTTGGGCGTCAAAGCAAGTCGACGCTGAAATTCTGCGGCTGAGGGCATCGAGTAAACAATAAGGAAAAAGAAAAGAGGTGGACAACCTTCTCTTGCGTGATACGGGGAAACATGATTACCATGGGACTGCTCTTTAAGCCGGGCCGAGTGGACGTCAACTCGGGGAGTAGCCATGGCTCCAATCCGGCTACCATGAAATAAAGGACTTTCTCCTCTCTATGGCAGACGCGAATCCGGAAATGCGCGACGACGCAGGTGTCGTGCACGGCCGATGTCGTGCGCGGCCGAGGGTCACCGGCACTTTCACCGTGGTAATTGTAGAAGATGTAGATAGATTTGAGGGTTTCTCGCGACGGATAAGGTAGACCCCATCTCTGGGCAGGGAAGGGAAGGGCATGACTGCGCTGACGTATACCGCGTCGCGAGAGAATGCAGAAGTGGTGGAAATTCCATTTGCAGATGAGCGAGTCGATCCGAGTGCTGTAAATAACTAACTACCTCAGGGCTGGATGGTTTCGATTTAGATCACGCAATGACGGCGAAGAGCGGTTGGACCCGTGGCGGGGTACTCAAAGAATGTCCAAGTGATCGTGGCGAGTCTGAGTCGGAGGAATCGTAAGGTACATATTCCGTGGAAGATTTTTTAGACAATAGTAAAAGAGACTCTAACTCGGAGTGATTCAAGGCGAGGACAAACTCCAATTCAGCGATGAGGAGGCGTCGTGTTCAGTGTCAACTGAGAGCAGTTCCAGCTCTTATGATTCAGTCATTCTATGATTCAGTCATTATTACAAGAGCCCTCGCTAAACTCCATATTAGGGCTATAGACGTCTGGACCCCGCAACGGAATCGGCCCCACAATGGAATCCTGGCACCGCACCACCATTCCAGACATGACTAACTTCAACTGAACACAACTCATCCACTTCTGGGCCAAAATCAACATGACCGCTATCCGGGAAGAGCTTATTCAATTGGCTATAACCGAGGTTCAAGAAGGCCTTTGTTCACAGAAAGATGCAGCGGAAAAGTACAGCATCCCACAGTCTACCCTGAACCGACGGCTTCATGGCGCCCACCCTCGACAACAAGCCAAAATCCACGAACAACGGCTCAGTCCTGTGCAAGAGAGGCATGTAGTCAACTGGCGCCTCAATGAAGAAAAGTCTGGAAGGGCTCCTAGACGCAGCCAGGTGGTGGCTTTCGCGCAGGCCATCTTGGCTGAAGGAGGTGATCATCAGCCCCTGGGTGCTAGATGGATCGACCGCTTTCTACGCCGCCACGATGCTGTCAAAACTAAAAAATCAGCTCTGTTGGAAAGCTCTCGTACGAAAGGCTCTACACGGGACGCTTACCAAGATTTCTATGAGA